TTGGTACACTCTGCAAATCAGGTAAATGAAAAGCTCTACAAGAGCAAACATGTCCTCAGTAGTCACTGAAATTGAACCCATAATTGTCAGTGTAGGTATGCTGTCCATACTAACACTCGTAACGTAACCAGAGAGACTGTTCTCGCACTGATGGTGCGGATTCCTGGGCAAAGCAGGAGCCCTCAAGGGCTTCATAGAGGAACTAAGTCCCGAATTAAGTCGTTTCTCATACCAGGAACGGTCGAGGGTCACAGGGCTATCAACACTGCCAGTACGACAAGACAGGCCTAATCTCATTGAAACTTTTAAAATACTGAACAATTTGGAGGATATTGATCCAGACAACTTCTTCAAAAGGTCAGATGTAACACAAACAATGAGCAACGGTTTCACGCTCAACAAGCCACAATACAGGACGGAAAAGAGGAAATGCTTTTTCACTCATAGGTGTATAAACCCATGGAACCACTGAAGCCGTAAATGCCAAAATGCTACTGAATTTCAAAATCTAGCTCGACAAATCATTAGGACAAATAAGGAGAATTTCGACAAGTCAGCGGTTCCTTTTATTCGTTAAGGTCACTAGAGTGGTCCTCGGATATATACAGGTAAATTTAGTCTCAATGGAATGACCGGTTCCTAATCCCAGACGGCACAGAGACGGTTGGGCATGTTTTCTTTTACTTGATGTATATGTTCATCTACAGTAAATAGGTACCCCTGAAGTTAGGCAGCTGTTATGGATTACATCTAGAGAATGTCATCAACAGTTGGCCTAGAGAGGGCTCGACAAGCCTAAAAGGTTTTCTGTTCCCGGTTATGGGAAGCCATAAAGACGACTACGAGTGGTGACTGCTGTTACAGGAAGCCGTATATGCTGTTGCATTAGCAACATGAAGCCTGCATAACGAGAGTAGCATAAACTTACTACTCTGATGAAATTACCGCTTCTTTGATTAAGTTTTGAATAAAGTATTGGCTTAGTAATTCTTTACTTTAGTAGAAAGGGACTTCCATATTTTAAGACCTTTTATTTGCTCGTTGTGTTTGCATAGATCTATTCGGACTCAGGTGGGAAGAGCAGTTGAGTTTTTCTTGTATCACAGTACCTACACAAACGTTTGAATGAGGTAAAGAGAACGAATTAAGGGATATTTCCATAATGTGCGACATAGTCACGAAGAACATAGAGATAGTTAGTTTAGTTCATTTGTTATACACCCCATACCCATCTTGTGGGCTGTAGTGGAAAGTGAGACATAGACAAACTAAAAGATTTAAAAGCCCCAGGTGTGGACGGAATTTAGTCCAAAGTCATGAAGAAACTGACAGATGAACTGTTTCTACCACTGAAACTCATTTTCATAAAATCTCTGGACCAAGAGACAGTTACCCTAGATGGGAAATATGGAAATGTCACTCATATTTTTCAAGAAAGGCAGAAAGAGACCATCAGAAAACTACCGGCCGATCAGCGTAACATCACACATGTGCAGGCTCACGGAGAGAATCCTAAGGGAAGGAATTATTCACCATCTCACAGTCAACAATTTTGTAAAACCAATGAAACATGGTTTTGCTAAAATGAAATACTGCTTAAAAAACTGCTCACATTTTGGGAAACAGTAACCAGCTGTTCAAAGCTTCCAGTAGATGTAGTATACACGGACTTTGTGAAGCTTTGGATAAGATGCCGCATGAAAGACTGGCAAGGAAATTACAGGCAGTTTTAGTTTAGTTCATTTATTATGCACCCCATACCCATCTTGTGGGCGGTAGTGGAAAGGGTTACAGAGGCACATAATGGCTCAGGGACTGAACCACACAATTCATTTAGCTAAGCAAGTTACAATCTTGATGAGCTAGTTACAAAATTCAATATAAGTCGTCACATCAACAATGGGTTTGAGATCGACCTCAAGTACAGGTTCTAAATTAAGCAACTGACATGTGTGGAGAAATATGGTGAGTGGGGTACCGCAAGGGTCCATTTTGGGACCATTTTTGTTATATACATCAATGACATAGATAACAATATTACAAACCACATCATCAAATTTGCACATGATACTAAGATTCGTGGTAAAGTAGGAAGTAAAAATTATACTGAGGCTTTACAAAGGGATCTTCAAGAACTCTACAAATGGTCAGAAGACTGGCAAATGCTTTTTAATACCGAAAAAAGGCCAGATATTACACGTTGGGTCATAACAATGAGCATCACAACAACTAAATTAACAGCATTATTATTATTACCTTGCAACAGATTGATGAAGCAAAAGTACCTTGGAGTCAGAATCCACCATTCACTGAAAGTTGTGCAACAAGTGGGAGCTGCAATATGCAGAAAATAAAGTCAACCAAACTTTAAGAATAATCTAAAGAACTGTTGACCTAAAAGAATAGAAGATGATTATTCAACTGCACTAGTTTCTGGTGTTTCCCCCATCTGGACTACGGTATCCGAGCTTGTAAACCTCACGTTCAAAAGGATACATCGCTGCTTTGAAGAAAGTTCAACACAGTGACAAAAATCATTCTAGAACTAGGTCAACTTTCATACCAGGAAGGGTTGAGGGCCACAGGACTAACAACACTGCAAACCAGACATGACAGGGCTGATCGCATCTATACCTTGAAAATACCGAAGAAATTCGAGGATATTAACCCAGACCACATCTTCAAACGGTCCATCTTAGTACATAAAAGCTCAACAAGCCACAATGTAGGACAGAAAACAGGTAATGCTTTTCACCCACAGGGTTATTAACCCAAGGAACTGCCTACTCACCGAAGCTATAAATGCCAAGCTATTGCTACAGTTTAAAATTCAGCTGGAAAGTTCTTCAGGAATAATAGGGTGACCTTTGACAGGCCGCCGGCTTAATGCCCCTGTAGAGATACTGGCCCTCAAGTAAATTCAAACGCGTTATTCATAATTAATAATTGATTTATAAAAGATTTAGATTCAGCTTCCTAAGATTAAAATGTAGCCAAAAGTTATGTTATTAATTTTACATGAAAAAGTCGTAATAGTATAATAAAGTATTACGCAATTTTTATGATTATATCCGTTTTAATAAAAAAAACAAGGACCGATAATATGTTAGATACATAAAGAGTACAGTTCAGACGGGAATAACTAACATTTATGTCGACATTCGGGTGTAGATATATTCAGATACCTGAATTTAAGGAATTTATACCTGAATCTACCCTTTTATAGCGATATACTTATTTGTGACAAGTAGCTTTGTACCTTGCATGTAACCAATGTTGTAACCCTTTTTGTGTAATGAAGTATTTATAATGAAATAAATAAAATAAAATGACAAAATACAAAAATATACGGGGGTGGTAGGAGAAGACAATATGTGTAGAGAAGATAATATATGCTGTAATATTTTCACTACTCTAATTATTTAAAATATGTAACACAAATAAGGATCAACGGTTTCAAGCTCAACAAGCAACAGTGTAGGACTGAAAACAGGAGATGCTTTTTATCCACAATGTCCGTGGCGCAGTGGTAAGACATTCTCCCCGCGCTTCGCAAGCGATTTATTCCGGGTTCGTATCGTGCCAATCCTAAACTGTACACCTCTGTTCACCCAGCAGTAATAATAATAAAAATATTTAATTTACAAGAAGGTACAATGGGTTGGTGGGATTACATTAGAGTGATATTTTGTACATTCTTGCAAAGCCACAGTACACATAGCGTTTCGAGCAGGTCCTTAATCAAACATATCAGGTAAGGTAAAAAAGTACATTGTAGCAAGGTTTTATATCAACAAAATAAGTTGACAGAGGTGTCAACTTATTTTGTTGACACCTCTGTCACGGGCTCACTATAGCCCGTGCTACATGGACATTTCGCCCTGAGTAGCTACATCTAAAAAACAACAGAGGTGAATTACACTGATGAATGGTGCATGTGCAATGGGTACCTGTGTTAAAGGATTTCACCGGTCGTATTCCAAAGAAAATTAAGATTAAGGACCTGCCTGAAACGCTGTGTGCTATGGCTTTATTATAATGTAAGAACTGTGTATATAAATAATAAAAAGATAACCACAGGGCTGTAAACCCATGGAACTACTAACCCTTCAATGCTGTAAATGCCAAAATGCTTAAATTTTAAAATCCAGCTGGAAAAAATCATCAGGGCAAATGGGGGGATATTTGACAAGCCACTGGCTTCCTGTCATCGTCGAGGCCACTAGTGTCAGTGGCCCTCAGGTAAATTAACGCTGTTTTATATGGTAAATATAAAATAAACGAAAAGATAAACGAATTATACGCCTTCGGCCGTGCGTTTGGTCTATATACATTTATAGCAAAATTATATTTAATAATTTAAATACGACTGCAACATTAACATATTATATACAATATGCCTATAATTTAAGAATTAATAATGTACTGCATAACGGTAATTGTATATTTAGCAATTCTTCAAATGCTGCGTAAACTTCCAGACAATCATGCCATATTTAGCCTATAAATCTTGAGTTTACAATTGTATGTTATTGATGCCGCACATATTATGTAAATCCTGAGTAAGGTTATATATATATAAATTATTCGGCCAATGCGTTAACTTTCCAAATGCCTCACACTCGTGGGAAATCCGGATTTGTCCTAATAAGAAAGTTTTCTACATTTTCTTTTGATAGTATACTAATATTTTCCAACAAAATATATATATTAATGCATATAATCTTGATTTCATTAATGTATAAGATCGGGTAACGTAGTAATGCTGATCGATGGGTTGGTACAAAGCACGGAAGCCTTTGATATGGCAGTTAAAAATCCCGCTTACGTTAGGTACCAACCGTAAACAGCCTTTACAGTCCGGAAGACTATATTTCCCCAAGGATTATTAACTAAAATATATTTTGACCAATGAACGAACTAAAGGGAATATATCGCCGTAGTTGTTCAATGAGATAACGGTAGATGAATGGTGTAAATACAAGGGAGATGGCAGGCCTGGGGACCCACAATCCCCCAGTGCAGTCGTACACAACAAGAAACATGTCGGCGATGCTACTGGAGGAAGTGCTACAATTTTGGCCATGAAACTAACGTGATTTAAATGAGGGTGAAGGCTGATGCCAGCTCCAAACCATGGCAGAGTCCAGTCTAGATTTGCGGCCTTTAACGGCCCTGGAAAATCTAGTGGGAGTGCAGATAGAAACTTTACAAATGGATGGTGGGGAAGCAGCGGACGAGGAGTCGGCAGGCACGGAGAGGGACACTGAGATGGACGCGGACGACGACCAGCCTCTCAAGCTGGTCTTAGACGACCAGGTGGCGACTGCCACGCCACCCTCTGCCATGGATGAGCCCCAGGAGGCGGCAGAGAGCTCCATGCCCGATGGTGACACGGAGACGGAGCAGGCTCGGGAGGACCTGCCTGGCCTGCATCATGTTAGTACGGACCCCCACCACGACAGTACTGAGTCTACCTGCACAGACCCACCAACCTCTCTAGTGGTGGACGAGGTGCCCTCAGCCTCAGAACTGCAACATTTAAGTGTACAAAATGATAGAGAACAAGTGTCGGAAAGTGAACAAATTGAAACGACTAGATCTTGGACTGTGCCAGAAAAGGACACATTGCCAAACGATGAAAATATTGAAACGGGGTCACAAGAAGCGGAAACTGAAGTGATGATGGAGGGAGGGGGGGACTCGAGTGCCAGTAGTGGGGGCGGTGAGGGGAGTGTATCGGGGACGGGCGCTCCTGAGCCCGAGGACCAGTTTAGTTGGGACAGTGTGCATTGTGTATTTTGTGACTCGAGTGCGATGGACCAGGAGCCTAAACTGTTGCCGTGTCTCCACTCTGCGTGTAGTAAATGTCTAACTCATGAAGCAGCTGAACCAGAAATGAACAAAGATGAAGATATCGTTGCAAGTAAGTATAATCTGTGTGGGTTGTGAAGATCTCGGATAACATTATAAAATTGTTATATAGAATTTCTGCTTCAGGTAGTAGAACAATCTCGTGCTCCTTTTCTTATTTTTCTAACAAAGTTTGGTTAGCATATCCCAGGCACTATATATTCATAATGGCTTAACACTTTCTCTTGATAATTACCTAACCATATTTTGTCATTCAACAAAATCTGTTTAATTATTAGCATATTTTCAAAGCAGTGTCATGGTTGTCAGTCGTGGCAGAATTTCTGGAATGACTTCTTTAAGCAGTTTTCAAGTTCATTATTTGTGGGTAGTTTAAAGTAATGTTATAATTCAGTATATGCTGTGATTGTCACAGTAAAATATTTAAAATATATGTATTTTTTTTAGATTTATGTATTATATAAATTATACATAATACATAAAATCATATGCTGTTTGCATTTTATTAAATCACTTGCATTAAAATAGACATTCCTAAGAAAATTTATTTTTTAAACATTCAAATGATGTTTATCGAGCATCGTATTTATCATATCTATTTACCTATACAGTATATATACAATAAATACGTATACTTATATACGTATTTATCATCGTATAATACTGTGAGCTTATACAGTACTACTGTACCTACAGATCCTCTCGTTCTTTCTTTGTACCGTATATCCTTTCTCTGTTCAAACCCATAGCACCCAACACTACCTACTGTATCAAAACCATGGCTGGGTAAAACCGATGTATGTTCAAGTTGTTCACAGGCATTTGGACAAAGCTTAGTTCTAATTGTACAAACTGCATGTATATAGTTCTAGGTTAGGCTGTGTTAGGTGGGGTTGGGGTAGGCTGTGTTAGGTTATGATGGGTTGGATTGGGTTTGGAAGGGTTGAATTGGGTTTGGAAGGGTTGAATTGGGTTTGGAAGGGTTGAATTGGGTTTGGAAGGGTTGAATTGGGTTTGGAAGGGTTGAATTGGGTTTGGAAGGGTTGAATTGGGTTTGGAAGGGTTGAATTGGGTTTGGAAGGGTTGAATTGGGTTTGGAAGGGTTGAATTGGGTTTGGACGGGTTGAATTGGGTTTGGAAGGGTTGAATTGGGTTGGGAAGGGTTGAATTGGGTTGGGAAGGGTTGAATTGGGTTGGGAAGGGTTGAATTGGGTTTGGAAGGGTTTGATTGGGTTTGGAAGGGTTGGATTGGGTTTGGAAGGGTTGGTTTTGGTTGGGAAATGTTGGGTGGGATAGGGTCATGAAATACATCACTTCCATTTTCATAACAAACATATGCATTATTCAAAAGTAAAGCAAGAAGTACTGTACCTAATTTCCTCATCGTTACATCACATGTTCACCGTCTTTCCCTATTACTAATGTTACATACAGTTGTCATTACTTGGCTGTAATTATGTTATCACATTACTGCAATTTTATATCTTTATTTAAGCCTCAGTGCAAATATTGTCAAAATAGTCACCCTGACTGTGCAAAAAAAAAACAAAAAAAAGTAATAGTAATAAGAGAATTTGTAGGAGCAGTAATGAGGATTCAAACCTATGCACTGGGTGTCCCCTACCCCCCCACACACACACTAACTACATCATGTTAGTGTGATTTCTCTCTGAATAATAATAATAATAAACTTTTTTTTTTTTTAAATGTAGGTCTGTATTCAGAAGACTGGGATATACACCAAAATGATACTGTACTGTATATTTAACCTTATTTTAACATTGACAGTGGTCAAAGTTCCTTCTGGCATTCATCAAAATATGTTTATAAGAGTTAGTAGTACCAAAAGAAGTGATTTTGTTTTGTCTCTTTTCATTTGAATATACTGTATTCAAAAGTAAGAGATCTGTATGGAAAAGTAGAGTAACAAAATAAATATAAACATTGAAGATTTCTGTGTTAGTGCAGGTAAGCATTATGTTCATTATATGATGATGGAGGACCTGGAGCTAAAGTCACTCTGACTCTCCAAATGATTTTGTTGACTCATGGCTGCTTTGAGATACTGTTGAACTATAATAGCATTTTAAGGGTTAAGATTAGCTGTTCATCTTGTATCTTACAAATCCCTGCAAATTCTTAATGACTATTTCAACTTCTTTGTTAGGTTTAAGACTAGTCCAAAACAGTATGTGGTTTTATTAGGATGTACTACTTAGTTACATATTGTTCTTTTATATATAAAAAAAGGAATATCCCAAAAGCATGTCATAATACAATAAAAGATCACTGGTCTGATGGACCAAGTAACATTGCTTGGGCATGAAACCTAGATATTTTATCAAAGCAATTGATAGAAAGTACAGTGGTACCTCCATTTACAAATTAAATCTGTCCCCAGAGATGAGTCGTAACTTGAAAATTCGTAACTCGAAACAAATTTTCCATAAGAAATAATGTAAATTGAATTAATCTGTTCCACACTCCACAAAATATTAATTTTAAAATACATCTCATACATAATACACACACATTTTGTACTTTAGTATGTACAAGTTATAACTTACTTTTATTGGTGACTCTTGTTGGCGTATGGAAGACAGCGGGGAGGAGGAGAGGTGCTAGTGTTTGGAAGGGGAGTCCCTTTCTATTATAACATTAGGCAGTGATGACTACTCAGGGGTACTCTCTCTCTCTCGTTTTGCAGGCATACCACTAGGACCTGGTTGTGGCTCACTGCTTGTTTGTCTCACTAAGAACCTTTCCACAGAGACTTGTTTTCCCTACATTTTAACACCTGTCTGTAGTGTTAAAATAGACATCACATTGTCATTAATAAGGTCAATGCAACAGCCTGCTACAGCTTTATCTGGGTGAGTCTTTTCAGCAAAACTTTGTAGTTCTTCCCATAATTCACACATTTTTAATAAGAAGGGGACATCCTCCACTGCCTCTACTCACAACTATTTTCTTAGGTTGAACCTTACCACTGACTTTCTTGGGACCCATGGCGTGATATATAATAATTAGTTTTATGTTCAAAAGTCTTTTAAGTTCAGAAAAACAATGAAATTCTTTACAAAAAATTCAAGTGTGATCGTTACGAAGTGGGAGGCATTGGTAAACTGAAGCAGTTTACTTCACTACTAAACTTCATTTTTGCCACTAGGAACCACGCGCTCGGTTGACCCATATGTGTATCAACAGAGTCGCAAGTCGAAGCAAAGGTCGTTACCCGATTCAAATTTTCTGACAAAATTGGGGCCGTAACCCGAAAAATTCGTAAGTAGGAGCATTCGTAAGTCGAGATTCCACTGTATATGGTTCTTAAGGCTGACACATGGAAAGGGATCAACACTTGAAAAGTGCATTATGGGTAATAAACTTTTTCCTGACCGGTATTGAAACTGGCACTATTTCAGGTCATCAGACAGCTCAATCAAGTGTCTTCAAATCAAGTGTAAATGTTACTGATTCATGCCAAACAGTGCTACTTTACATATTATTATCAGAACATAACAGATATTGGCTTTTGAGGAATGAGTCACCTATCATGGGTGTTCAGTTTTTAATCTCCGGATGCATGGTAAGAAGAAAAAAATTAAGTTGCTGAACATTTTGAAATTACCAAATGTCGCCAAACTATAAAGAGGACTAACACACCCTAAGAGGAGTGTGAGGCCGAACACACAGAACTAGGAGGCCTGGTTGAGGACCAGGCCGTGGGGATATTGGACCCCGAAATCATCGCAAGGTAATCGCAAGGTAACCCTGCTACCACATCAGAGGTTTACGGTTGTTCAACATCCTCCCAGCGAGTACAAGAAATATTGCCGGAACAACCGTGGACATCTTCAAGAGAAAACTAGATAGTTTTCTCAAGAAGTGCCGGACCAACTGGGCAGTGGTGGGTATGTGGGACCTGTGGGCCACTCCAAGCAACAGCCTGTTGGACCAAGCTCTCACAAGTCTTCAAAGCCTGGCCATGGGCCGGGCTTGAGGAGTAGAAGAACTCCAAGAACCCCATCAAGCATGTCCACTAGTATGAAATCTTAATGGTCAGTGCTTCCCAAGGAATAAGCCACCAAACACTGGGATACCTAGTTTCTGTCTGATACCCTTAGATGCTAGTCTGCAGACACTCATAGATTCAAGCATCTGTAAACCATGTCTGTTATTATAAGTGTGTTGCACTTTCAAACCTCCTCTCTCTCTACTCCTGCATCCTTTTCCAGAATTTCACCTCCCCATACCTTCACCTTCCCCATCCTTTCCAAACCCTTTGGACATCAAAGCGAAGTGTTACCCAATACTGTATTATAAGAACATCAAAATTAGGGAAACTACAGATTACCCATTGGGCCATGTGAGGCAGCTCCTGTTTATGCCTACCCAACTCACTTATTTATACAATACCAGTACAGTACAATACTGTATATCTAATAAATTGTCATCCACACTTCCATGGAAATAAACTTTCCTTCTTAAGACTACTCAATAGCTCAGTCAATAGAGCTTTGGCCTCACACACGTGAGGTCCATGGTTCAAGTCTTCTAGAGCCTGTATATCTAATCTCCGCTAAAAGAGAGCCCACCATAAGATCTATTTACTACATATCTACAACCAAATCCTCAAATCAGTATTTACCAAAGACCTTGCTGAATCCAAGCTTATCTGATTTGAAATTACTTAAGTGTAGAAACAGGATGAGAGCTATGCTTGTGGTGTCCCATCTTCCCAGCCTGTCACCGTCTTCCCAGCCTGTCACCGTCTTCCCAGCCTGTCACCGTCTTCCCAGCCTGTCACCGTCTTCCCAGCCTGTTACTGTCTTCCCAGCCTGTCACCGTCTTCCCAGCCTGTCACCGTCTTCCCAGCCTGTCACCGTCTTCCCAGCCCAACCAACATCCAGGGTATAAAAACACGCAAATCCAACAAAGTTCATTTTATAGATGGTCTCCTTCATGAGGCAAATGCAGTGTTTGCAGCCCTAACGGAAACTCACACAAAGGACTACCTTGATGGTGAAATATGGATCCCAGAATACAATCTCT